TTTATTTTGTAGGTGTAGATGGACACAACACAATGCCTTTATTTTTATGTGGTGCTGAGGATCGAACCCAGGTCCCGCCTGTGCTAGGCAAGCRCTCTACYGCTGAGTCACAATCCCAGCCCCAAGGTTTGTCTTTTCTTTCTTCCTTTTTTGTGGTACTAGGGATTAAACCCAGGAGTGCTCCATCACTAAGCTATATCCCCAGCCCTTTTTTTTTTTTTGAGACAGGGTCTTGCTAAGTTGCCAAGACTGGCCTCCAATTTCTGATCCTCCTGCCTCAGTTTCCACAGTAGCTGGAATTATAGGTATGCTACACTATGCTTGGCTGAAAGTTTTCGATTTTTTGAAAAAGATTTATTTTATTGTTGATGAAGGTATAAACTGGCACAACTCTTACAGAAGGCATTTTGGCTGTTTCTATCAAAATTGTTGATGTCTAGTAATACTACTCTGACCTAGTAATGCTTTTCTGGGAAATCTCCCTGGAGATATAATTGTACACATTCAAAATGATGTATTCACAAAGGAACTCACTGTAACATTGTTGTAACAGGAAAAGACTGGAAACAAATCCAAAGTCCCTCAGTAGGGGACTGGTTAAACAAATCGCACAACAGATTATTTTTGTAGGTGTAGGAAAGGAGAAATAAGTTCTTAATAWATAAATGTGAAAATGTCTTCATCTTTTTTTAATATTTATTTTTTAGGTGTAGATGGACACAACACAATGCTTTTATTTTTATGTGGTGCTGAGGATCGAACCCGRGCCACACGCATGCCAGGCGAGCGTGCTACCGCTTGAGCCACATCCCCAGCCCTATATTCTGTTTTTATTTACTGAATGCCATAGCCAGGCCTCCCACAAAGACATACCAAGCACTTAAGACTTGTTCTGGAGACTTATAGTATTTGAAAAATCCCATTTATGTATTCCCGTATACAAGAAAAGCCTATACAAATTGATTTTAATATTAATGATGTTTGTTCTTCAACTATAAAGGGAAAATGTTTGGTTAGGACTGAAATGTCTCCATGTGAAGATATGGTTTGAAGCTGGAAGGTGTGCCCGAGGTACAAAGAACAATTCAACTAACTGTGAAATTCAAGCCTCCTGTGAGTGCCTAGGCAGCAGAGACCCAAGCATCTAGTGAAAGTTCAGGTTAAAACAAAGAAACGAGTACAGCTGTCAGTGGAAATGTACACATTAACCTAGCAATGAATTTGCCAATAATTACCATCTATTTACTCTATCTACGTTGGTGCTTAAAATGTAAAGTCCTACCAGAAAGGGAGGGCATTTATATTAGGAAACAATGGAGCATTATTAATGTTATCAGGGGCTAGTGAAGTGAAGAAGGGATCCGAGGCAAAAGTCTATAGACATTAAAGTCTGTGGAGTCAATATAACCTTTGTGTTCAGATTCAATCTAATTTTCCTTTTGGAAAGAAATTCCTCTTTCTTCAGACYTTCTAGCACTTAGTCAAAATCTAAGTGCCCAGGCACGGTTCTTCACTCTGAGTAGCATTAGATAATTCTTTACAACCAGAGGCCAATCTCCACCTCTGTTCCCCCCCACCCCAACATACCTGGGCTTTAGAGTTAAGAAATTGGGGGGAGGAGGAGGGGCTCAGTGTCTGGTARGTCAAAGCAAACTTCCACATGTCATTAGAATAAATTCTTCCTATGTTACCTAAGGGCTACCTAACAAGTAGCTGCTGACTTAAATTGGAGCCTAGAAAATAAGTACCTTTTGATTTTAATATCACAAGATTTTAGAGATAGAAGAGATCCAAGAGAGAACCTAAACTATTAACRATTCTATTGCATCATGTACAACACTTTTAAGCTAGAAATTTCTTATAGAAAATTCAGTAAGGCAGACATATCAACTAAAATCCAGTATATAGGATAGTTCATGTATTTTAGTTAACCCATAGAGTTTTAAGGTTGCTAGTGTAAATTTTTAAAAATCTCTTATGGAATGAAGAGTATCTGTCTTTCATGAAGGCACTGGAAGYTTCTTTACATCTATATATACATTCTGCTTGAAATATCACTAAAGTTCAATGTCCCCCAACTATTCCTAGTTTAAATTTGGAAGCAAATGTAAACCTCATATTTTACCAACTCTTATTTAAGAATTTTAATGTTTTTCTTGTTATAATATATATTATATTTATCTTATGTCATTTTGTATTTTATTTATATATAATATAGAAATATGTGTTTAAATATTATGTATCTTATTTGCATAACACCTAAATAGTAAATATCTTATTTAGGGATTAGAATAAATACTCTTTATTATATTTCTTTTAGAATTTCCATGGTGGGTGACCATATATATATACCTTAATGGGGACCCAGAATGATATGAGGGAAAACCAGATTTAAATCTAGCTAACACAAACTGGTTCAAAGCTCAGATCTGACTCTTAGGAGCCCTGTGACTTGTGATAAATTATTTATTCCTTACCTATAAAATTGAAATAATCATAATACTTGGCCATAGAACTGATATAAGGATTAAATGAACTAATTCATTCAGCAAATAATTACTGAGGATCTATTATGTGGCTAGCATTGCTAGGCACTGGTGGTACAGTGAATAAATGCATGTATAGGATGTTTGATGAAACTTGGACTGTTGTATTGATTTTTCATTTTAGGTACTGGGGGTTGAATCCAGCATTTCACCACTGAGCTATATCCACAGCCCTTTTAATTTTTTTTTTTTTTTTTTGAGACAAGGTCTCACTAGGTTGCTGAGTCTGGCCTGAAACTTGTGATCCCCCGGCTTCAGACTCCCAAGCCCCTGGGATTACAGGAATGCACCACCACACCCAGCGTGGACAGGCTTGGGTTTGTACCTTGGATTTAAAGAAGTTTTAAACAGGAATGAATTATTTATCAGACCTCCAAGATCATGGAGTTGAAGTGCTGCTAAACATACAATAGTATCCAATTACAAGAGAGTATTGTCTGAAAGATGCAATACACCTGTTGATTGATTAAATATGTGTTGAACAATTTATGCAGCATATTATTAATTTTCTATACACTAAAACTGGTTGTCAAGTGTTTGAATATTTTTTTCAGAACAACCATGAAAACTAAGAACAGCAACAAAAGCAAGAATAAAATATGAGAGTGTAACTCATGTGAATGGTTATTAATGCTAGTGATATTTTTTAAATGAGAGGATTAAAAACCCCATCCCACTAATTAAACCCCCTCCCCAAGAGTTACGTTCCCTGAAATATAMTTTTTTTTTAAGTTTAAAAATTTATAATGAGGACTGGGATGGTGGCTTAGTGGCAGAGTGCTTGCCTCACATGTATGAGGCAMTGGGTTCAACCCTCAGCACCACATAAAAATAAATAAATAAAATAAAGGTATTGTGTCCATCTACMATTTTAAAAAATTAAAAATTTTATAATGATTTGGTTTTCTCCATGTTGAAGAGTAAATCCAGGACCTTGCACATACTGTGTCTGCACTCCATCATTGACGATATGCCCAGCCCAATGCTCTACTTTTAAACCAAGAGACTACTACCAGGATATCTTAGGCTTGGTAGAAGGTAAGAGAAGCCAGTATAATATTAACATATTCCTCTAATCATGCCTGTATCACTTTGTTTCMGTTTTTTAAAATACTGAAACCAATAAGGATTATTATGCAACAGAATGCAAAAATCTACCTGGTTTCATAAAATAAAACATGAAACATCTAAGTCATTTTTCCTTGATTAGCCTCTTTAGGGCACGGGGGTGCTGGCCTCTTTAGGAGAACAGTTAGCAAGCACTATGCATTAGGAATGGGCTTTCTGTGCTTTAGTGTTTTCAGTGAGAAGGGATTTGGAATCACTCTCAGAAACGCTCTTGATTTTTTTTTTTTTGCCTTCTTCTAACCTGCTGATTGCTTTCTGTCATCTACTAAAACTAGAAATACAAATTATTACACACCATGAAAATAACAGCAGTACAACGTATTTCTGACTAGGACATGGTGGCTGAGCTTTTAAACAGCACTCATGATAATCCTGTGCTCTCTACCACAAAATCAAACAGGAAGGCGCTTCTGCTGTTGCAATAACTCAAGGTGCTAACAGAAGACTTTTTTAAGTGAAATATTAAGTGTTAAGTGAAAATGACAACTTACGTTAGTCTTGAAGATTGTAAACTAGCATAACATTCAAAGCTTTGTCCGAAATGGTGACCATTCAAAATCCAAGAACTGAAGTCATTCTCTGGTTCATTGATCTGCTTTAATTCTTTTCATAGTGCTTATCCCTGTCAGAAACTATCTCATCGCTTGTCTCTTGTGTTTATCTCTTCCCTTCTTGCTCTCCATACGTAGGGTCACTGGTATCTCCAGCATCCAGCCAAACACTGAGCTACTTATTATATAGTAGACTCTCGAAATAGACTCATTGAATTTTCTTTATAAGATTCAGTGATGACCCCTTTTATCACATATCTATTTCTCAAGAAATACAGAAGCCAAGGATAGGGGAAAGTATCTGACCTCTTCAAAAGTGCGGGAGGAACCTACTTGATGGATTGTATGCCGTTCCATATTCTTTGCGACCTATGCCATCTCGGATGCTAAAACTCTCACGGGGAAGTCCCCATGATCATTTCTCATGTGTTTAAGGGAATGTAGTAACCTCCGTAGGGATTTGACACTAGTACCTCGCAATCACATCAACTGACAGGATAAGCCTGCRCCGGGCCATTAGCCCTGGGAGTGACACTGCATGCACAGCGGAGCGCCCCCAAACCSTTGAGCCCTGGGTCGCAGTCGCTGGTTCAGATTTTGGGGTGTTGGAGGAGAAGGCGCAGCGCTTGACTTAGGTACTCGCTCTCACCCTCCAGGACCGAGCTCGCCCCCTGCTGGGTGGGCTGTGCTCAGGTGCATCTTTTGGAACTCCAGGGGAGAAAGCCTACGCGAATCCGCGACCCAGGTTGGGGTGTGGCCGGGGGCCCCAGCTCACCGCTGCTGAACTTGCTGTTGTCTCCCGCCTTGTTGAGGGCGCTGCTGGAGCAGCCCATCGCGGCTAGCGTAACCACCTGTCCCAGCCCTGTGCGGGCGTCGCTCCTGGAACCTAGATCCCGTTCTCAAACGCAACAGAAGCAGCAGAAGTTCCACCAACTCCGTAGCCCACAGGCTCAGAGCGCAGGCGCACGGCCAGGCGCTGGGTAAGGGGTGCGCACCGGAAGGGGCAAGAGAGCTGGGCACAGGTGAAAGGAGCCAGGGAGTTCAGAGCGCCAGAGATCTGGAGCGCAAGGAAGCAGAAGACAGTAGGGATACGTAGAATTGAGGGTCCAGGTGAGGGACAGGTGGAGGGTGTGATATAGACAGAAAGAAAAAGCCCCCCGAAGCAGGATAGGGATGCTGACTGGGGGCTAGGGCGAATCGCTGGGAGGGATCGTCTGAATCATCCCTAAATAGCCAGGGAGGGGAGGAGGCGGCCGTGGTCAGCSGCTATTGATTGGTAGATTCAGTGTGCGATGGCGGTGTTATTCTTACATAACTCCAGGACAGTTACCACAAGGAAGTTTAACACCAGACTATTTAATCTCCCCTCTGATTTCAGCTTGTGTTAATTGTCCCATCCCAGGACTACACTTACCATCCTGCCTCTCTTTAGTTTGGTTTAATCTGAAGTAGTTCCCCCAGTATTGCTTTGACTTTCAGGACTATGACTTTTTTTTTTTTTTTTTTTTAATAGGACAGGCCATTTATTGTAGAATATTCTTCAATTTGGATTGGTCTGATTTCCTTGTGATTGTTTGCTGGGCTGCAATGTCTGTGTTCTCGTCGAAGCACAGGATGCAGTTCTTCTCATTATTGGGAATGTTAACTTTGTTGAGTTAGGTAAGGTGGCATCTGCTAGGTTTCTCCACCGTGGTATCATTATTTTACCCTTTGCAATTTATGGGAAGCGATTATTCGGCTATGTAAATATTCTGTTTCTCATCAAGTTATCTGCTACTCTTAACACACATTGTTTCTTGCTTGGATCAATTATTACTATGATGGTTATCAAACAGTGATTTTCTAATTATATTATTCCTTCTATGTTTATTAGATGGCATTGTACTCTGAGGAAACTTTCCTTTTTTTTTTTTACTACTATTTATATCAGCAAACACTCATGAAGTCTTACATTATTCTGTGAGTTGTATTACAATCTATATTAGTTGTCTGGGGCTGCTATGACAAAACACCATAGACTGGGTGGCTTAAATGACAGACATATATTTCATCATAGTTCTAGAGGTAAGAAGTACAAAATCAAGGTGTCAGCAGCGCTGATTTCTTCCAAGGCCCCGTGGATAGCTATACTCTTCATATATCTTCACCTCATTTTCCTAATGTGCATGTCTGTGTCCTAATCTCCACCTCCTATAAGGCCACTGTTGTGTTGGTTTAGGGACCCACACTTGTGATCTCATTTAACCTTAGTTGTTTTCTAAAAGACCCTGTCTCCAGGTACAGTCACATTGAGGGTTAGGGCTTCAGCATATGGATGGGACAGGGGCATAGTTCAGTGCACAGCAGACCCCTCCTTCTGAGGAAGCTTTAAAAAAATAGTCACACTTAATTTTATTTAGTGAAAAAAAATTTTAAAGTCCATTATTCCCAAAAAGAGGTTTGATAACACACATATTAAATTTAAGTATGTAACTTGAAATTTTCTAAATCCTAAGACTTTCATGCTAAATCAGGACTTACTGAGCCCATTTAAGTCTCTCTTTTCCCCCCATCAATTATTTTTTAGGAGGTACATGGGGTATCTCACTTTTCCTTTGGGATAATGTTTTCATCAGCTTCTGCTGCTAGGACTGAAAGACCCACACAGAACAATTGTGGTGGAGGAAGAGTTTATTATGGGGCTCACAGTTTCAGAAGTCTCAATCCGTAGACAACAGGCTCCATTCCTTGGGGTTCAAGGTAAGGTAGAACATAATGGTGGAAAAGTATGGMGGAGGGAAACAGCTTACATGATGATCAGAAAGCAGAGAGAGAGAAACTCTACTCTCCAGATACAAAATATATACCCCATTCCACACCCCCAATAGACCACTTCCTCTAGCCACATCCCACCTACCTCTAGCTACCATTCAATTAATCCCATCAGGGACTAATTCACTGATTAGGTTAAGATCAATTCAGTGATTATACCTAATGATTAGGTCAACCCAATCATTCTCCTCCGAACMGTCTTGCTTGCATAGTCTCACACGTGAGCTTCTGGGGGACACCACATCTAAACCATAATAAATAATTTGGCAGCTGAGTCATGATATCTCCTATTTTCTTCAAAGGAAGCATTTTATGATCAGGTGAATAGTGAACAATAAGTGCTTTGAGGATATCAAGAATAAAATGGTTCTGAGGACTGGGATAAAAATCAGGCACAGGCTCAATACCATGTTTCTCCCCTTATCAAGGTTTACCTGGCTGAGTGCCCAATTTGCCACCAAGAGTAAGAGTGGCCAACTCTAAGTCCCTGAAATGGTACCATACTTTGATAGGATCTAGCAGGGTCTCATGGAAGATAGAAGGGGACTTTGGGGGTGATAGCAGACAATTTTTACTGTAATGGACACTTGATTAGATTTGCTTTTCCTACCCATCATACCTCTGCTAGCATCAACCATTAGTGGGCATTCTGTTAAGACATGCATATCCTTCACCAGGCATGGTGGCACATACTTGTAATCCAACTACTCTGGAGGCTGAGGTGGGAGGATCACTTAGCTAGAAGTACAAGACAAGCCTGGKCAACAAAGCAAGATCCCATTTAAAAAACAAACAAACAAACAAAAAACCCCCACATTATCAGACATTACATTCTGGATTTTATCTTATCAAAGAAAGAACTCATTTTATTGTGAGACAAGGAAGTTAATATGTTGTTTTCCACATGATTCACTGGTCTTTCTATTTATCAATCTAGAAGTAGCCATGAGTATTATATGCAAATATGGGTGTTGCTTGTTTGTTAAACTGCAAATATATTGCTTTTCTGTGTAACTGAGCTTGTTTTTGTTGCTTACAATGCCAGTCTCTAGACTAATACACAGTACTTACCCTTCCTGATCACTCTCCTTCTCAACAATTACCCATCTTATCTTTTTCCTTTAGTTTTATTAGATGCTAGTTTGCAATACTTGATCACAACCAATACCATGATTTTAAAGGCTGATGGTACCTGCATATTTYATTGTTTTAGATCTCAAAGGTAGATGCTCATACATCTTTTCACCTCCAATGACTYCTTTTATCATTTTTATTTCACATACCCGTGTTTTGATTTTATCACAAAATTGCATTTGCTATCTATTTCTCCATTAAGTAATTACATATTCTGAGTAGCATGATATGCAGTGTTACAATACTAAATTGATATTATTCTGGTATAAAAGCAAAAAAATCAATGTCTTGGTCTGCTTCATAGCTTTATGGAGGATAAAAGTACATAGCAGACTTGTCAGATTATTGAAAATAATATATAAAACAACCTGCTTTTATAGATACTTTGAAACATACTAAATTTTAAAAAATTGGCTCTATAAAATGTAAGATAATTCAAAGACCAATCTTTATAGACACCATTTTACTATCAAAAATGTTACTCCTCCAAAATAAAATTATAAAGAAATTGTGTATAAGTGTGGGGGTGGTGGTGGTGTTTTTGCCAAGGGCATAGAAAGTATATGTTCCCTTGGATTTAAAAAATGGCAAACTAAAATAAAATAAGATGGGAGGAAGCATTCTTTGGCTTACTTTTAATCTAGTCCTAAAGGATTTGCAGCCTGCTAAATCTGGAAAGCAAAACTTTCAGAGTCTGAAATACTTCCAGTCTGAACAGAAAAGTCTATCGGAGAACAGTTTTGGATTCTTTATTATTGTATAGGAAAAAAGGGTAGAACAGGTAATCTTAATTCTATCTTGCTTCCAGTTGAAAGTCACTAACATTCACTGAGTTTCCAGAGACTTTTCACTTGGGTTTATCGTTCCTCCTTCTCACCAACATATTTTTGAGTATGTTTAATATCCAGGGGGACTGGTAAGAATAAGAAGATTTAGACAAATTGAGTTTCAAATCATTATTGAATATTACATAATAATCTGAATATTGAATAAGTAATAGTCAATGAATATGACAATTTTAACTGCTTCATAATAAGAGCCAGTGTGCTGAACCAATGACTATCCGATGAACTTGTATGTTAGTCAGCTTTATGATCACTGTGACCAAAATACTAGACAAGAAAAGGTTTATTTTGGTTCATGGTTTTAGAGGTTCAGTCCATTGTTAGGCAACTTCATTGCTCTGAGCCCAAGGTGAGGCAGACCATCAGGGAAGAGTGGTGTAGTAGATGAACACTGCTCTGCTCTGCTCTGCCAGGAAGCAGGGGATGGGGAAGGAGGTTCCAGGGGAGATGAACCCTTTTAAGGCACACCCCCAATGACCTACTTCTTCCATGCATGCCCTACCTGCCTATAGTTACCACCTAGCTTGTCCATTCAAACTAGGATGGACTGATTAGGTTTCAGCTCTTGTGATTTAATCATTTCTCCTCCTACATTAATACAGGAATTTGGGGTGGGGGCAAATTACGTTTGCATCCCTGTGACCGAATGACCTGACAAGAACAACTTAAGAGGAAGAAGGATTTGGCTCATGATTTTCAGAGGGTTAGTCCACAGTCTCCATAGCTTTGGACTTGAGGTGAGGCGGAAGGGTACAGCAGAGGACAGCAGCTCAGGACATGACAATCAGGAAACAGGGCAAGCTCTGACAAAATAAACCCCAAAGGCATACCCCTAGTTACCTACTTCCTTTAGCTACACCCTACCTGCCTACAGTTACCACCCAGTTCATCTGTATCAGTTGATTAATCCATTGATTATAACTCTGAAAATTCCTATACTGTCTCATATATGAGCTTTTGGAGGATAGCTCATATCTAAACTATAACAGGGCAACACCTTATAGCCAAATCATAATAGTCTGTCCTGGTCCCTCAAAGCAAAA